GAAGTCAAGTTTATGTATCCAAAACTTTAGATATTCCGAGAACTACTGTATGGAGAGCTTTCCATCGCTTTGTACAGGTACATACTCACGTTAACCTGATGCAGTAGATGAGTTCTGCAATTGCTGCCAAAAACCCTCTGCAGGAGGTTCGAAATGCGAATGTAAGTGAAAGAACGGTTAAAAAACGTAATGAAAGATGACTAACTTAGGCAAAAAATCAGCTATGGTTCCCGAATTACAACCCAGACACTGCAGGAATTGATTAATTTTTGTTCGACAACTTAACACTTGGATATACCCCGAAAAGAAAGTTTGGCGGTTGTGGTGTCATGGTTTGGGCTGGAATTTCATTTAAAGCTCGAACAGAACTTATTTTCATAAATGGCCCTCTGAATGCTTATCCGTATATAAAATATGTTTTTGCAGAAGCAGTAGTTCCATTTGGTTCATTTATTGAGGACAATTTTGTCTTTATTCATGATAATGCACTGCCGCATACTGCAAGAATCGTGACAAATTACTTGGGGGAAGTAGAAATTAATACTCTAAAATGGCCAGCTTGCAGCCCTGATCTAATTATGATCGAACATCTTTAGGATAAACTTTATCGTAGGGTCGGAAGTCAACCAGGCCAGCTAGAAAGTCTTACAGTACTTCAATACATGCTTCATGAAGAATATGAACGTTTCCAAATCGTGTTGGTTATTGATGTTTTAGAGAGAGCATAATACCCAATATAAGACAATTTGGTTCAGTTCACTCGTAATTTTTATTGTTGTAATTCGTTTCGATAATACACTATTTTCTTTTGTAACCTTCAAATTAAATAATTATGCTAAGGAATCAAGCAATTATGGCCTTTTTTTTAATGAAGGATGTTAGAATACAATATAAAACAGTGTATAAAACTTACAATGAATTTTTATTTTCGGAAATTTATAGGGTGGCCGCTTTTTGCTGGTCAGTTTATATAAAAGTAAAATGCACTTTTAAATCATTTTGATTGTTACTGTTGGCCTTCTGATGTTAATATTTATTTAGTAACATAGAGATGTCCAATGTATTAACTTTAGTTCTTGGTAATATTTTCTTCTCTCTGTCAATGTTTTAATAAAACTCCTAATAACAATTTTTTTGTGTTTGCTGTAATAAACAAACATTTTTTATTTTACTGGACTAAAACTCACAGCTTCGTAGTGGCAGCGGTAACACTCTACTGGCCTATCGCTATTTGTATCTATTATGCATTTTTGCTCATTTTCTTCCGTATTGCTCATTTCCATGAGATTTTTGGTGCCGATACGCACTGCAGTCAGTCGGAATACATAAATCTAAAAATGCAGGAATAATTTATCTTCAACAATAAACAACCGTTGCATAAAATCTTATAAGTGTAATGATAAATGTATATGATATGGCCATTAACGCATAAGAAGCATATAAGAAAGACTATATCATTAACATCAGCTGGTGTGTCAGTCATTACGTTATTTTATCTCATTAACTGGTTCAGTAATAATGATCTAATTTATAGGTATGCTGTCTGCGATCTTCATTATGGTTCTTATCATGCACATCTTCATATAAATTTTATCATATTAGGTTTTTTCTAGTTGCAGTATTTTTCTATTCTAAAATTAACTAAAAGTAACTAATAGAAACACTTAGTGTTTAATCTTTATGTCTGATTATCCAGTCTCGAATGTCCACTGCTAAACATAACCCCGTCTATTATGCACCGTTCTCATCCAATATTTATTCATTTCCTTTCAATCGTCAATAAATTGTGTTGATTATAACTTGACGGACGTTCTGATTACCCTCATTTAGCCTTCATTCCATTACCCTCTTTATCCATCTATCATCTGGCATTATCTTTTTGTTTTTTAACCGTATTGATTTTTAGCTTGGCTATTCTTTTAATATTATAAAACATCTTAATATTTTGTCTTAATTATTTGTTTTTAACTTTATCAGCAGTTTTATATACAGTTTTAACTACAGTTATTCCCAGTATGGGTCAGTGTTTTTTCTTCGTACATCAATACTGGTACACTGCACTGATCATACAGTTTTCTTTTCATTAGTATAGGGTTTAGACAGTTTTAAACGTTTCTCTTCTTCTTATTCTTCTTCAAGTTCCACTCCTATCGGAATTGGAAATCATTCTGGTAATTATAATTTTATTGGTTACGCGCCTGAATAGTTCAATTGAACTGCATCCAAACCATTCACGGAGATTGCGTAGCCACGAGATTTTACGTCTTCCTACGCTTCTTCTACCTTTGATTTTACCCTGCATTATATTCCTTAGTAGTTCGTATTTTTCACCTCTCATGATGTGCCCCAAGTATTCCAATTTCCTGATTTTTATGGAATTTAAAACTTCGCATTGTTTTCATAGTTGTTCGAGATCTTGTTCGTTTGTTTTGCGATTCATCCATGATATTTTCAAAATACGTCGGTAACACCACATTTCAAATGCTTTTAGGTTTTTAATGTTAGATTTTTTAAGGATCCAAGCTTCAACTCCATATAAAAGGGTAGAGAAAATATAACATCGAAGCATTCTTATCCGGAGCGATATATTGATATCGCGATTACAAAAAAGTTTTCTCATTCTATTAAAAGTTGATCGTGCAATTTCAATGCGGCGTCTTATTTCTTTTGTCTGATCAGTATCTTTTGATCCATGCTCCAAGGTATTTGTACGAAGATATTTGTTCAATTTCTGTATTATCTAGTACTAGCTTAACTTTGATGTTTTGTGCTTTTTTAAATACCATGAACTTGGTTTTCTTCAAATCGTTTTTTTAGTCCATAATCGTTGCAATATATATTTAGTTGTTTAGCAAGGTGTTGCAGTTCTTCTAGTGTTCCTGCCAGAAGGACGGTGTCGTCAGCATATCTTATGTTATTAAGTGGATCACCGTTTATTATAAGGCCCTCACTGATCTCGGCAAGCGCTAATTCTGAGATGGCTTCACTGTATAAATTAAATAACAAGGGTGATAACATACTCCTTGGCGGACCTCACGGCCAATCTGGATATCCTCGGTCAGTTCGTTTTCAACTTTCACTTTTGCTGTTTGATTCCAATAGAGGTTACAGATGATTCTAATGTCTCTACTGTCTATGTTTTTATTTAATAAAATTTCTTTAAGTCGATTATGCTGCACTCTGTCAAATGCCTTCTCAAAATCAATGAAACAGGCATATACTTCCTGATTAATATCTAAGCATCTCTGCGAAGAGAACACTTACTGCAAACAGTGCATCTCTTGTTCCCAGTCCTTTCCTAAATCCCATTTGTGTATTACTAATGCTTTCATCTAATTTCTTATGTATTCTATTGTGAATTACTTTTAAAAACAATTTCAAGACATGACTCATTAAGGCTATGGTGCGATGTTCATTGCACTCCTTTGCATTGGCTTTTTTGGGAAGCAGTATGAATGTTGATTGGAGCCATTCTTTGGGTATTATACCTGTTTTATATATGGTATTGAATAGATCCAAAAGAAGATCAATAGATTCAGTATTCACAATTTTAAGTAATTCATAGGAAATTCATCAGGCCCGGGAGATTTACCACCTTTAGCTTGTTTCATTACATATTTAATTTCTTCTCGTATATTGTCAGGCCCAGTATCATCCTTAAATTTTTTTGGTGCTTCTGTTCTCTCTTTGTCTTTAAAAAGGTGTGCTATATATTGTGTCTTCTCTTAGTTTTTATAATCTCATCCAGACATATCTTAAAATGTGTGCGTTTTGTTATTGATCTGTATATTGCAGGCCAGTACATCTTAAATTTTTTGGTGCTTTTCTCTTTGTCTTAAAAAGGTGTGCTATTATTGTGTCTTCTCTTAGTTTTTTATAATCTACTCATCCAAGACATAATCTTCTTAAAATGTGTGCGTTTTGTTATTTGATCGAATGCCAATTGCATGCCACAGTTCTTTGAGAACGACGTTGTCTAGGATATCACCGACTACAACGAGTGCTATAGGTCAGTTATTACCAACTTCTTTTGTACGAATTGAATAATATGGATACCCACAACACATTTGCTTTCAATAGGATGGCTCATGATACATGGACATTCTGTACGAGCGATTTGAGGATCTTCTGCAATTAGGATCATAAAATTCTCGAACCAGGTTAAATAAGGAAAGCAAATAATTTTCTACCTTAATCAATTTTCATACTACTTATGATGTCGTAGATCTAACCTTAAACATTAATTCCACTAATTTAATAACTTATCTCTTTTTCAATAATAGAGATTTGCAGATTTAAGACAATAAATTTTATCATTTGAACAAATTTAATTTTAACTAAAGGTTTTCATTAAAAAGATATTAGGTATTATTACAACAAAAAAAAATCTATAATTTTAAAAAAAATACATTAGTCTTTGAACATACCCATACCTCGTCATGTTTAGCTGTCTTCTGGAATTATATTTTCTGTCACCTCAGCCAGTTGATCTGTCTCGCTTTAACTGACAAGAAGCACGTGTTAAAACCGAGCAAGGAGACATGTAGCTCCTCAAGTAATAATTTTTATCCAATGTCATCGACCAAATTTGGAATGATGTAAAACCATATATGGATGTAACAGCTACAAATTTAGTGTTAGCTTCAACTACATAAGAAGGCATTGAGGATGATCTGATTAGATCTAAAACGTTATGCTACGGTATAAATTTTGACGACACTTTAAAAGTTTTAACTATATGTTTTTTATACCTACATACAATTGTGAAGTGTTTTAACTTCTGTATGTTTTTTTGTTCTTTTTGTCTTCGAATCAACAATCCGAAATTACACTGTAAATCTATCAACACCTATCTAAATATACAGTATAAACATTAGGGGTTTTTTCTGCAAATTTTTATTTCAACAGCATTGTAGATTGATAAATATACTGTCACATGAGATATCATTTGTACTGTGTTTATTTATTTGTATACTGAAATTGGTTATAATTTTTTTCAGGCCTAATTCTAGAGAAAAGGGTTTTACAATACTTCTCTTAGCAGAAAACGAGGCTGATTATAAAGTAGTAGAACTTTTAGACAAAGCCGTGTGCCTAGTAGGAAACTCAACGTTTATCAACAAATTTTTAATATGGACACCTGGACCAAAGGGTATAAAGGAGGTGAAAAAATTGACGAGTCAAAGTCGAGTAAGTATTTATTTATTTTTGTGAGATTAATTTTAATTTTCTGGCTGTAATTCAATAAAATGCAAAAGCTAAGGGCAATTAAAATATGTCTAATTGTTTATATCTTAACGTTTCACGGCTAAGGTTTAAAATTGGAAAATTAAGGTATACTATAATTCTCATGCCAACTGTAAAACACAAAAGCAAAGGATAACTTTTAATTTTGTTCTTTATTCGGTATTAATATCAGATACGTTGTATATAGATCAAGACATTGTTTTATTAACCATACAACACAATGGCAATTGCTGTGACATGTTACACGTTTTCACCTCTATATTTATTTCACAGTAGGTACGATTTGTCGTAATTGTCATATTGACATTAAAAATGTTAAACGAAGTTCTGAAAGAATAAACACATAAATCTATTACATTGTATACCGTCCAAGAAAAGTGCAACTTGTACCATGGTACTTTCAGGGTTATTTGATACGCGAAGTAATTCATTTATTTATTGTTGCCTTCTACGTCTTAGAACTGTCGATGAGGAGCGTCAAAACAGGGATATTGATATTTGTGCTTTTGTGGAAGTTACAATAGTGTACAAATTGCTAGGGAAGTTAACGTAAATGCTCGAACTGTCCAGCGCGATCTCAAAAGGAATGGGTATCACTGCTTTAAGATACAACCAACACAAGAACTGTTTCCGGAAGATAACTTTAGACGGAATGGAGTTTTGTGAATTTATGTTAGATAAACAGAATGAAAATGTACCTTTTTTTAAAAAATATTTTATTTTTCTGACGAGTCTTTATTTTCGTTACATAAAAAACACAATCCATTCGTTGCAAGGTATTCTATCTATCTATATAATTAGCCTTCTTCGGTCCATCTTTGGACATAGGTCTATCCTTTTCCATTCTTCTCTGTCTGTCGCTACAGTCATCCACCTAGAGCCCACGTGCTTCTTAATATCATCTGCCCATCTCATTTGGGGACCTTCCTCTGCTTCGTTTATATTCCCACGGTCTCCAACGTATAAGAATTTTGTTCCATCGGTCTTCTTTTTGTCTTATATTGTGTCCGGCAAATCTCAATTTCAATTTTGCAACTTCTTGTCTAACATCCCTCACTTTTGTTTTCTCTTTTATCCACTCATTTCTCTTTAGGTATTATTCTCGGAAAAATAAGCACCTCAGTGTTGCAGTACGAACGCAGCATCCGCAAAAGTTAACATTTTTGGACTGGGATGTAAGGCGGACCATATTATTGTCGGTCAATTTTCTTATCGATGGAAACCGAAACGGGTCCAAATATTTACAACTTTTACAGAATGTGATCATTCCAGCAGTTCAACGCCTTCCTGTTAATTTTCAGGAGGTTTATTTCCAAGAGGATAGGTGTTCGGCTTACAACTCTAAAGCAACTATTGACTTTCTCAATCAAACGTTTCCTGTAACGTCCAAAGTTTGTAAGTTCTTAAAATTGGGCATAGACGTTTTCATCTTTCTTGGCGTGTGCATGTAAAAAACACTGGCAATAAGTTGTTTCATCTGTCTTTCCTTGTCTAAACTCAATTCGTTTACGTCCTCCAGTGGCAGCTGTCTGTATTCGTAAAGAGGCCGAACTTATCACCGACACCGTATCGGCCAAACGCATCGGTGTTATTACTACAATACTGGTAGACGTGAGTGGTCTCTTCATTCCCTTCTCATCGCACTTTACCATGAAAAACGTGACTCGCACAATTGAATTACGCATCTGTGTATCAGAGAGAGACGAATAGTTTGGAAGAATATTATTTTTTTTTTATTATTTAAAAGTACAAACGATTCATATTCTGATTTTTTTTCTTTTTTCTTGTCTTATTGTTATAAGCCTTATCCATAAAAATTTGTACAATTTCCAGTGACAATAAAGCATATTACTTATTTACTTACTTATTTATTTGTATTGCTATTTAAGGCTAAAAAATAACCAAAAAATTAGTTAAAGCATTAGAATAAAGATACTCTAGAAATGGGCTTGCAATAAATCTTAATTTATTATGGTCAACAAAACAATGTCGTTATCTTTATACGTTAACATATACTTGTTCGAAATAAAATTCTACTTTCAAAAAATTTAACTATTTGCCTCACTCTGTACGTAAACAAGCTATACCGTCCCTATAGACGAATTTCATTGTGAATTCTAAGGGCTCACTTTTTATTTCCGGTTCATCCGGTCACGGCGCACTGGATGAAAGATTTTAATTCAGTTTGTGAAGAATGCCCATTGAAAAAATACCTACAATGACGTTTGCTAGTATTTTATCAATAAAAGTTCAAAACGATTAAATAATACACGATTTAATACTTAAAGTTGATCAGAGTAATTGTTTGTGGATTTAGAAGTGCTGTGTGTGAACAATTGTGGTTGTAGAATACGTCTTTAGCTTTACTACGTTGTCAAGGTAACTATTTTAATATTTTACATAATAATAACAGTATAGGTATACCAATATAATACGAAAATACGTTTACACTGATCATCTTAAAACACTTTTTTTGTTTTTTTTTGTTTTGTATATATTTTGCAATTATCTGATTTTACATCGGTGTTTTTATTTTGTTCTTCACTTTGTTAGTCTTGTTCTTTTAACATATTCATCTTCTTCTTCTTCACTGGCTTTACACCTCGGAGTCTTCGCCGCATTCACTATCGCCCTCCATCCTCTACGATCTTGCGCTTCTATGTCCCATTGTTGTACCCCAATTGTAGATAAATCGACTTCAACATCATCCTTCCATCTTTTTCTCGATCGGCCTACTGATATTCTACCATCTCTTCTTTTAAAAAAACACTGTTCTTTAATACGTGACCTGCCCATCTTATTCGGTTTGCCTTGATATGTCTAACTATGTTTTCAGATCCATACGGAGTCACCAATTCAGCATTGCGGCGTCTTTTCCAATCCCCCATCTCTTTAAGGGCCAAATATTATTCTAAGAACCTTTCTTTCAATTAGAAGCTTATTGATTTCCCGCTGGTTAAAAGTCCATGTTTCACTGCCATATGTAATAATTGAGCAAATAATCGAGTTGTACAGTTTTAATTTAGATTTTCTTTTTAGCAGCTTCGATCTTAATAATGTTGAAAGGGAGTATAATGCTCTATTTCCCGCAGCTATCCTTGCTAAGACCTCTTTTTTCTATGTGGTTGTCAGCTGTGATTATCGCCCCCAGGTATTTAAACTCCTTTACTACTTCAAAGTTGTGATCATTAATACTGATGTTCTGCCTAACTTTTGGTCTTGGATTTTTGGTTACTACCATGTATTTCGTCTTTTCTTCATTTATTCGGAGACCTAGACTACCTGTTTCTTCCTCGACCTGTGAAAGCACCTCTCACGTCTCTTGTAAAATGCGTAACTACATCTATATCATGAGGAAAGGCCAGCAACAGTTTTGATCCTTGATGAACAAATCCTTCTGTCAGCCCAGACGATATTTTACTTATTACATATTCTAAAGCAAAACTGAACAGCAACGGTGACAAGGGGCCCCCTTGCCTAAGTCCTGAATTTATATCAAATGGCATCGATTCCTATATTTACTTGCGCATATAAATCTGTCATTCACATTTGCGTAAATTCAACTAATTTTCTTGGTATTCCCATTTCTAACATTGCTATCCCCAATTTGATTCTTTTTATGGAATCATATTCTTCTTCTTCAGATGCAAATCCACTAATGTATGTTAGCGATCACATTTTCCATTAATTCTCTATTTCTTGCAATATGTATCAGAGATTATATGTCGTTAATCCCTGTCCATTGCCTTATGTTTCGGAGCCAGGACATATTCTTGCGTCCCATTCCTCTCTTGCCTTCAATTTTACCCTCGATTATAAGGTGGAGGAACTGGTATTTTTCATTTCGCATGATGTGACCTAGATACGCCGTTTTCCTTTTCTTGATGGTTTCGAAGAGTTGGCGTTCTTGGTTTATTCTTTTAAGGACATCTATATTTGTGATTTTCGCTGTCCATGGTATTTTTAGGATACGGCGATAAATCGACGGATTCATATGCTTGCTGGAAATCTATGAAAATTTGGTGCACATCGCAGTTGAATTCCCAGTTTTTCCCTAATATTTGTCGGATGGTAAATATCTGATCTATAGTTGACCTTCCAGCACAAAAGTCGCATTGGTAGTCGCCTAGAATATCTTCCGAATATGGTGTGATTCTCTTTAGCAATATATTTATATGATGTATATGATTTATATGTATATGATATCATACAATTTTTGGTGTAAAAGGTTACCTCCTTTTTTAAGAGAGAGATTCAAATAACATTCTCTCTCCTTTTGCCGACAAGAATGTAGAGCCTAGAATAATTTTTAAATAATTTTAAACTGTTTGTCTTTGTTTTAGTGTAGTGTTATGTACAATTTATGTTCAATTTCATGTTTATTACATTCTGCGCTTGCTGGATAGCCCAAATTTGACGAAATGCCCCTGATGATGCTTTAGAAAGCAAAAGTACTTTGGCAAGACTTAATTATTAAAATTGTGCTCGATATTTGTCTTTAATTTTTCAAAGTACAACAAGTTATTGTAGGAAAATGGATCTACAAAAGAGAGGTAATATTTTTGACTACAAAATCTTGTCCAGAAATGGTCGACGTTCATACAAAATCACGAATAAAAAGAAAACCGTCTACAATAGTAGAATATAATTCTGTTAAATCTTACATTGACGTCTCTGATCAAAAAATTTCCTACAGCAAATCCTATCAGACGTTCTATAAAATGGTATTGGAAAGTGGGAATAGAGTTATTTATATAATACAGCCGTATTAAATACTTTAATTCTGCACAACAAAGCTTTGAACAAAAAATGGATGTAACACAATTTCGCGAAGAATTATTGAACTGTTCATTTGCAAAGACAATAATGTTTAAAAACCCTCAACAAACACACCATATGCTGGAAGAATATGACAAAAGAGAACGATGTGTTATATGCTACAG